GACTGACAACAGTTTAATAGCATGTTGAAATATCTAATGTAAATGTTCAAATAAAGCTTTGAAAAAGTTTCATAAAAAGGTAAACCTCACATTTCAGCCTTTAAATAAAGAAAAAGATATGTCAAAATGATAATTGATTAATAAATGATTATACGTATTTTATCTGCTCCATAAATAATTCTTGAGACTGTTACTTAAAACTGTGCTTTATGCTGGACAGTTTATTTATCACGAGTTGTTCAAATCGTGGTAATCTAATACGGTTTTAATGATAATTAAAAGATGAAACGGTAATACTAACCATGGGGAATTTTATCATGATTTATCGTCAAACCGGTAATCGTTACATCCCTAAGTTCTATTGAACCAAGTATCTGTATTTTGTCTCATCTCGTGAGCTAAGTGTATTGTCACACCCCTAGTGTCGATAAGTGGTGATATAGCTCATAATTTTCCAAGTGTATGATACAGCTTTCATTCTTCAGGTCAATCATATATTCATGAAAAAAAAATCAGTTTGAATAAGAAAAGCGATAACTTTGTCATAGTATCCTTTCAGATGTTAAAGTTGCCACAGTCATTGCATGCTTTGCGTGTACTACCCTATAAACTATAAATCTAAACTATACTATCACATTACTATGTCACCTACTCAGGGAATGTTGTAATCAATAAAAAAAAATTACCAGACGACTGGAGAATGAGTTTCAGCTCGCATTCTCACGCTTCATACTGATCTTTACTTGTGTTTGGCGCTTGGCGAGTGTACATTTTAGGCCCTGATCAGATATGCTTTACATACACAGCCAGTCAAACGTTTGGACACACTGGAATGAACTTATGTAATGGATTTATTTTATCATTACAGCACCAGAAATCCTGAATTATGAGCCAATAAGCACAGCGACTGACATGTGGTGAGTTATTTTCCCACAGTACCTCATGTGTCCTCCTGAAGGTCATTATTACACAATAAATACTTCTCTGGTGCTTTCTGGTCAGTTTTATCATGTTTCAGATCTAGCCTCAAGTCTAATTGTGTGATTTCCTCTAAACAAACAGTTTATTCACTGTTAAAACTCTCGCACTGTTGCTGGTTCAGAGTGTTGGTTGTTCAGGATATATAATGCAAGAACATTTGTGCCCTAAAGTCTTGTATCAGCAATACTGCTTTGAGAAAAGTCTGTTTGTCACCTGCTGTGTGAGCTTCAGCATGCGGCTCCTCTGTCTGACAGGAGCATCGGTGTCCTGGCGTACGTGATGCTGACGGGGATCTCGCCGTTCCTGGGGGACGATAAGCAGGAGACCTTCCTCAACATCTCTCAGATCAACATCAGCTACACTGAGGAGGAGCTGGAGCATCTGGATGGAGCCGCCGTCCACTTCATCAAATCCCTGCTCATCAAAGAGCCAGAGTAAGACCGGAGAGAGACAGTAAACACATGTATAATGCTACAACAGATTTCTGTTTCATATAAACATGTATCACAGTTTCCACAGAAATATTGTGCAGCACAACTGTTTTCAACATTGATAATAATCAGAAATGTTTGTTGAGCAGCAAATCAGCATATTAGAATGATTTCTGAAGATCATGTGACACTGAAGACTGCAGTAATGATGCTGAAAATACAGCTGCGCATCACAGGAATATATTACAGTTTAATATATATTCACATAGAACACAGCTGTTTTAAATGACAATAATATTTCAGAATTTTTACTGTTTTTGCTGTATTTTTGATCAAATAAATGCAGCCTTGGTGAACATGAGAGACTTCTTTCAAAAACATTTTAAAAAATCTTACTGACCCCAAACTTTTGAACAGTAGTGTATATTATTATTATTATTATTATTATTAACATGAGATACTTCTTTCAAAAACATTTTAAAAAATCTTACTGACCCCAAACTTTTGAACAGTAGTGTATATTATTATTATTATTATTATTATTGTTGCTGTTGTTTTAAATCTTTTAATTAATTAGTTTTTGTTAATATTTACTAATGTTTCCACTGATGTATTTCCTCCAAAATGATATCACATCTTGGATTATGATGTCATTAAGAAACTGGCTTTTGTTTGTTAAATGTATATCACACAAACACACACACACACACAGACACACACTCA